CATGTATTTGGAAACTTCTAAGTAATACATAGGTCAATTTCAAAGGTACCTAAAAATACATTAAGCTATAAATACAACGTATCAGATGGAATGCAGCTCAAATAATACTGAGGGGAAAATTTACAGCACTGTGTGCTTACAAGATCACAACTCATCCAATGTGAAATATAATTTGAACAGCCATGTAATCATTAAGGAACTTACATTTATCCGAAGTTAAAAGCTCCTTTAGAAAACAGAAGAAAACCTAACAATTTTATGAAGCCAATCTTATTGTAGTAGACAATAAGATTATGTAGACAGAGTACTCCAAACAAACAAACACACAAATCTCTATTACTACAGACCCATATTCCTTACAAATGTAGATATGAAACTTCTTAGCTAAATATTAACAAAAAGAATTTAATGTGAATCTATACTATGACCAAGTAGGGTCATACAAGCATATAAGATTGATTCAATATTTGAAAGATAAATGCAATGTATCATATACCAAGCTAAGGAAGAAAAATTACATAACAATGATCAACTCATACAAAAAAGCATTTGACAAAATACCATAGCGATCTTCAAAAAATTCCTAGCAAATGAGGACCAGAGGAGAAATTTCTCACTTCCAACTTAATAGAGAATAGAGCCAGGTGCTGGTGGCTCACGCCTGTAATCCTAGCTACTCAGGAGGCTGAGATCTGAGGATCATCATTTGAAGCCAGCCTGGGCAGAAAAGTCTGAGAAACTTTTTTTGCACATATTTTTTATTATAAAAATACTGTACAGAGGTGTTACAGTTATGTGAGTTAGGTAGAGTACATTTCCTATCAGGCATTGTTACCTTCTCCTTTGTTTTTCCCCTATCATCCCTTCCCTCCCTACCTCCCCAACTTCTCCCTCCCCACCTCCCCACCCCTGAAGTTGTAAAGTTCATTTTCAACATAGTGTCTTGTACATCTTGTTGTTACAATGGGTCATCCTGTAACCTTATTTCAGTATTTTATAAACTACACAGAAAAAGCTGGAAGTGGTGCTGTGGCAAGTGATCTTGAGTACAAAGAGGCTTAGAAACAATGCCCAGGGCCTGTGTTCAAGCTCTAGGACTGGGGGTAGGGGTGGGGAGAGACAGGGAGAGAGGGACAGGGATAGACAGGGGGGGGAGTTAGAGGGAGAGAGGAGCAGGGAGAAGGAGAGAGGAGGGGGAAAGGGAGAGAGGAGGGAGGAGAGGGAGAGAGAAAGGAAGGGGGAGAGGGAGAGAGGGGAGGAAGGAAGAAAAAGGGGGGAGGGAGGGAGAGAGGGAGAGAGAAAGGAAGGGGGAGAGGGAGAGCGGGGAGGAAGGAAGAAAGAGGGAGGGAGGCAGAGAGAAAGGGAGAGGAGGGAATAAGAGGAAGGGAGGGAGGAAGAGAGAGGGGGAGAGGGAGAGGAAGGAAGGAAGAGGGAGTGAGGGGGGAAGGGAGGGAAGGAGGGAAGATAGAGACTATCTATCCACACAAAAACCTAAGACAAACAACATACTAAGTGATAAAAGCTCGAATATCTTCCTCCTTAAGAGGAAGACAGCTTGCCCACCCTTCCCACTGCTATTCACCAAAGTACTGGAGGCTCTGGTCAGCATACTGAAGAAAAATTTTAAAAAGCCATATACATTGAGAAGAGGGGGAAAGAACTATCTACTTACAGATGATAAGCTAATCCACATAGTAAATCCTGAGAATTCTACAAAATAAAAACAAAGCTAGAGATTAGAGACACTGCAGATTGAGACACAAAATCAATTATATTTCTATGTAATAATAAGAACTGCAGGGAAACCAAAACGTAAAATGTAATCGCTTAGAAAAGAAGGGAAAAATACTGAGCTATGAATTGAAGAAAATAGATACAGGGTTTGTATGCTGAAAACTACCAACTCTTTAACAAAAGAAACCCATGAGTACCTAAATCGGTGGACAGAAATGATGCCACCTCTGAGAACTGGAAAAGTCAAAACAGAAAGGTGAGCCAATCTCTCCTCAAATGGACATACAGACTTAACACAGTTAAGTCTGATAGGTCAAAATTCCAGAAAGATGTTTCTGTAAATATTATTGAGATAAGTGTAAAATTGATATGGAATAAATTAAAATATCTAATATAAATTTTAAAAAGAGTAACAATGTGATAGTAAACTATGTTATTTTAAGACCTATTATAAATCCAGTAGCCAAGATTGTGTGATATTGGCACAAAGAGATACATAGATCAGTAGAAGAAAATACAAATTGAAAAATAACCCTACACAAATACAGCCAAGTCACGTTTTTTAAAAAGGTACAAGCAATACAACGGAAGAAAGACAAAAAACAACCAACCAAACAAACAAACAAAAGAAGTCTTTTCACCAATGCTGAAACAAACATAGATCCACATGAGGGGAAAATATCCCTTAACCTAAACTATAATATGTAAAATTTAATTCATAATGGATAATAACTCTCAACAAGAATTTTTGTGAGTGGGAAATTAGTTTTTTTGTGTGTGTGTGACTATGAGTTAGTCAATGAATTCTTAGACATGACATCTAAAGCCTAATAAACCAAAGAAAAACAATCAATAGACTGTATTTCATCTAAATTAAATTTTTCCTGTTAAGAGGACAGAGATAAGCAAGACATAAGCTGGGAGAAAGTATCTGCACATCAAATCTAATCAGTAGAATCCTTAAAAACAACCCCGAAAACTCATGAGGAAAAAGGCAAACTATCGAATTTAAAAATGGGCAAAGGGCCTGAAGGTTATTTCCAAAGAGAATATAAAGATGTCAAAGATTTCTCTATCAGAAAATTAGGACAATATTGATCATTTCAGCTGGTTGATGGGGTGTTGTAACACTGGATCATCGACATATAGTTGGTGGGAATAGTTTCTTTAAAAAAAAAAACCAAACAACTAAGCATATACTTATCATATTATTCATCAGTTATACTTGTGAGCACTTATCCCAGAGAAATAAAAACTTCTATGTGCATAAAAAGTTGTTTGTGTTGCTTCATAACAGGTTCATTTGTTTTGTTTTTGGTTGGTTGTGGGGCTTAAACTCTTGGCCTGGGCGCTGTCCCTCAGCTCTTCAGCTCAAGGCTAGTGCTCTACCACTTGAGCCACAGCGCCACTTCTGGCTTTTTCTGCTTATGTGGTGCTGAGGATTCGAACCCAGGGCCTCATGCATGCAAGGCAAGTGCTCTACCACTGAGCCACCTTCCCAGCCCCATAACAGGTTCATTTGTACAGTCAAAAACTGCAACAACTGCCAGGTGCTGGTGGCTCTTGCCTGTAATGGAGGAGCTACAGAAGGAGGTACTCAGGAAGCTGAGAAAGTCTGTGAAGGCAGGAAAGTCTGTGAGACTCTTATTTCCAATTAACCACCAGAGGACTGAAAGTGGTGCTGCAGCTCAAAGTAGTAGAGCAAGAGCCTTAAGCAGAAAAGCTCAGGGCCAGGTCCTGAGTTCAAGCCCCATGACTGGAAAAAAAAACCTGCAACAACCACAACTGTATCAAATATGTTTATGAATAAACCATTCAACCACATTCTCACAATGCACACATTGAAAACAACGACTGATACACATTAACAATAGATGATATACAAAACCGTAGACATGGAGATTGGTTACCTGGGCTGGAGGAGGGTGAAGTGTGGGAAGGAACTATAAGGGCATAATGGTTGCATCTTACTTAATGCAACTTTTTCAAGAGTCTGCTATTAATTTCAGGGGTGTTTCTATGGATGTATATCTCTACATATATGTGTATATCCCTCGCTCTATACACATATATGTATACACGTATGTACATGTATGGGTATGCATGCTCATGTGCACACACATGCATTCTAAATGTAAATGTACATCTGTGCATGCGTACATATACACTTGGAGAATTCCAAGTGACAGAAAGGTGTGACACAGTTCAACTGGCGTTGTTTTCTTTCTGAGGACTTTATTCACATCCTACGAGGATGTGTGCCTTCAATACCCCATCTATTCACAAAGGCTTCGTGGGGGCTGATGATACCACAAAACAGTCCAGAAGACCAGAATAAAATCCGAGTAACGGAAGACAGCATGGACAGGCAGGCAATTATACGAATTAGTACTACTTGCTGACCTAACCTGGTGGCAGGACTGAATCCCACAGTATCTCATTTAATCTACGTATTTACCTTCGTCTGCTGATAACTTTCCCACCCGGGAATCGAACCCCGCAGGACTCTGATCCAGCAGGGCCCTGAGTCACCAACGGGGACTACAGGTGTGTCTGCTATGGAGACCGCGACCCCCACCCATAGGACCGCGAGGCCGGGAGCCAAAGCACGACGTGGTCCCCAAGGGCTTGTTTTGGGGCTGCGGGTGGGGAGGAGGACGCCAGCCCCGGCAGGCCTGGGGGGGCTCGGGGTGGACGGGTGCTGGGGTGAAGGGTGTCCTGGGTGACGCTGCAACTCGGGGGCCGTCGCGCTGCACGACCACGGGAACGATCAGCATCCTCCCTGCCCCCGCCACCCCGGCCCGACCGCGGACACCTCTCTCCTGACCCACAACCCCACGGAGCAATGAGAAATCTTCCCTCTGGGACTTAGGAACCGGCCCCAGCCCACTCCTCCCTTAGACCCCCAGGCTCACGCACCTGCCTCCGCAGTCTCCACCCCAGTCTCCCGGCCTCTCGAGCGCTGGTTTGCTATTGGTTAACACCGCTGCCCCGTTAGCTCTGCGCCCAGTGTGAGTGGCGTAAATCTGCTCCGCTCGAGTTTAGTCCCGCCCTGTCCTCCCGGGCCACGCCCCTACGTGACGTCACGCGGTGCCGCAGCTCGCCTGAATCTCCGTCGCCGCTTTCTCCAAACGGAGACCGCCGAGTTTGGGGCGGGGCAGCGTGAGCTCCGGATGGACCACGTGCCTCTTGACGTAGCGCGACGTCGCACTCCTATTCGCAGTTTCCTGGGAAAAAGGGTGGGGACTGATGACGTAAAGGATGTCCCGCCTTCTACGCACAGCCGCCGCGGAGGGGAGAAGGGGCGGGGCCGCGTAGCATCCGCGCCATCAGTCCTCAGGTGGCGGCCCGGTCCGTGTTGTATATGGTTTTCCCAGCCAAGCGGTTGTGCTTGGTGCCATCCATGGAGGGCGTGCGCTGGGCCTTCTCCTGTGGCACTTGGCTACCGAGCCGAGCCGAATGGCTGCTGGCGGTGCGATCTATCCAGCCCGAGGAGAAGGAGCGCATTGGCCAGTTCGTCTTCGCCCGGGACGCCAAGGCAGCCATGGTACTCCAGGGCTTTGGTATCTAGCACCGAGGAAGTCGATGTCGGGGGCGGCGGGCTGGGCTGGGCGGAGACCCACCTTCCGTCCCGGCCGTGGGTCCCAGTCTCCTACGGCCTGTGGGGGGCCGGGGCGGGACCGGCCGGCCTGCGGGGCCCGGGCGTGCGGCCTGCTCCCCGCGTTGTCAGCCGCCGGGCCCGGCCCTGCGCACCCCCGCGAGACCCTGCGAACCGCGGAGCGGGGCCCCGAAGGCCTACGAGTGACAGTGTTTTCCCCCGTGGTGAATACTTTCATGATCATTTAGTTAGGGCTTGAACTCAGGGCCTGGGCTCTGTCCCCGAGCTGGTTTTTGCTCAGAGCTGGCGCTCTACCACTTGAACCACGACTCCACTTCTGACTTCTTTGAGAAAAATAATTGGAGTTGAGTTTTACAGACTTTCCTGCCCGGGCGAGGGCTGGCTTGGAACTGCAGTCCTCAGCTCTCAGCCTCCTGGATAGCGAGGACTGAGTCAGGCACTTTGATTTTATTTTATTTTTTAATGTTACCAAATTAATCCCAGCACTCTCCGAACCGCTAATGTACATGTGAAACCCTGGAAAACACTGACAGTGTGACTTAACTGCTCCCAGTTCTGTGCGTGGTGAGACTGGGAGAGGCCTAGGCCAGCCTGTTAACAAATTCAAGCCCAGGTTGTGAATTTCCTGGCTAGATAGCTTGGGAAATGCTATTTAAAAAAAAAAGTGTGTATTTTAATATGTTTTCGAGCAACACATGGGAATTGCATTTCAAAATAAGCATCTTAATTGTGTAGCTTGAAATAATCGCTGATCACTGTCACTTCCAAGATGTGTTTTTCTTGAAATTATTGGTACCTTTAAATCAAATATATACTAGACTTTACACACACACTTTTTTTCTTCTCCCCCTGTGTTGGGGCTTGAACTCTGGCTTTGGGCGCTGTCCCTGAGCTTCTTTTGCCCAAGGATAACTACCACTTGAGCCACGGGGCCACTTCTGCTTTATCAGTGATTAATTAGAGGTAAGAGTCTCATAGACTTTCTCTCAGGGGCTGGCTTGGATCCTCAGATCTCAGCCTCCTTGAGTAGCAGGATTACAGGTGTGATCCATTGACACATGGCATTGTTGATGTTTTTTGAAGGCATATTGGGTGAATGTTTATGACACTCCTTATGGTTTATAAGGAATGGGAAAAAAAAGTGAATTGGCAAATCTTTTTAAAGTTACTGTTTTAGTGGAAGGCTAAAAATCTGGAAGGATATTTTCAAAACAACCATATGTGTTGTCATTTCATATCCTTGAGAGAATTTTTGTGCATTTTTAGTGATTTTTTAATGGAGGTGTGAGTGAATGGAACAAAATGGGTTATGCCTTTCTAATTTTTTGCAGCTAAGTGATAGAGGCTGTTGAAAACTTGTATGTGTGTGGATGTAAGTATAATAGGCCTTCTTGCAACATTTTTTAATAGAAAATCTAGAAACTGAGAAATAGTCAATGTTAGAAGTTAGTTTATATACTGTACCCCAATACTACAAAATGTTTTGCTCTAATTAACAGTCCAAATCGATACATAAAAACATGAAATAATCCTCAATACTTAAAGCACATAGATAGGTAATTACTAAGAAATGTGATATGCATGTAATATATATGTACTTTCAAAACTTTACAAAGTAAATGTATAATGTATAATTACAAAGTAATGTATAATGATGTTTAGTAATGTCCATATATAATTAATGTTTTATATACTTAACAGGCTGGTCGTCTGATGATAAGGAAATTAATTGCAGAGAAATTGCATATTCCTTGGAATCATATTCGTTTGCAAAGAACAGCAAAGGGAAAACCAATTCTTGCAAAGGACTCATTAAATCCTTACCCCAATTTCAACTTTAACATCTCTCATCAAGGGGACTATGCTGTGCTTGCTGCTGAACCTGAGCTTCAAGTTGGGATTGATATAATGAAGACTAGTTTCCCAGGTAATGTTACGTTTTTATTATGTAGAAGTTGAAGTTAAGCACCTTGATATCTCAGTTGTTAATTATTGTGTAATTGCAGGCTGGGAGATATACTAAAGATATTCAGTATACAACAGCATACATCTGAAAAGGATATTTTCCCCTTAATATCACCAGATTTCTACAAGAACAAGAAATTATACATTATTAGGGATACATGTAATGCATTGCCCAGAAGTAAAGTTTAGTTTTTATTTTTGTTTTGATGGCACTGGGGTTTGGGACAGAGGACCTCATCTTCTCACTCAGCTCTCTTGCTCACGGATGGCACTCTTACCACTTGAACTAAATCCCCAGTTCAGCATTTTGCTGGTTAATCGAGGATGGAGTCTCACCATTTTTTTTGTGGGTTTTTTTCGGGGGGGGGGAGGGGTTTGGCTTTGAACTTTGATCCTCTAGATCTCAGCCTCCTGAGTAGCTAGGATTTCATGTGTGTGTGAGCTGTCAGAGCTTGGCTAACTTGTAAATTTTTGTAGCTTTGAGCTGTTCTTGAGATTTTCTAAAATCAGAAAGGTAGAAGCCATTAATCCTTAAGAGCACAACTATACTGTAAAGATTGGCTCAACAGATTAATACTTGCCTGGCCGTAGTGCCTGTGGGAAACAGACTTTATTACCATTTTACTTGGTGTGCATTGTTGATTTATGATTAAGACTGAATAAATAAGTAACCACTGATTGAAACTATTTTTTTGTCAGTCATAGGTCTTGAACTCAGGGCCTAGGTGCTATCCCTGAGCTCTTTTGCTCAAGGGTAGTACTTTGAACCACTGCTTCACTTCTGGTTTTCTTTTTCTTAATATATATTTTTTTATTGTAAAGATACTGTACAGAGGGGTTACAGTTACATGAACGAAGTAATGAGTCCATTTCCTGTTGAGCATTGTTACACCTTCCTTTGTTTTTTCCTACCATTCCTTCCCTCCCCAACCCCCCCCAAAGTTGTAAAGTTCGTTTTCAATATACTGTCTTGTACATCTCATTATTACAGTGAGTCATCCTGAATCCTTATTTCAGCTTTTTGTTATTTTCCTTCCCCTCCCAAAATTAGAAAAATGTATATACAAGATGCAGGACACTGGAATCAAATACAGGGATATACAAAGAAACAAGCAAAACAAAAATCACATAGTACATTATAATTACATTAAAAAGAACAGCAACAAAGATAAAACCTCTTGTGTCCCTATCTTGGGGTTCATTTCATTTAGCATCAGGTTATATGGTCATATGTACATAGCTTCTGGTTGTCCTAGACATATGCTAGTTATTGCAGATAAGGGAAACCATAGGGCCTATGTTTCTGGCTTGCTTCATTTAATACAATTTTTTCCATGTGGTTTTCTAATAGTTAACTGGAAACATGAGTCACAGAGTTTCATACCTAGGCTGGCTTCAAACCTCAATCCTCATCTCAGCCTCCTGAATAGCTAGGATTCAGGCTTGAGCCATTAGTTCTTGGCCTAATTGAGGCATTTAGTTGAGAAGGTAGTAGAGCAAAAAAGGAAGATTCCATTTTCTTCTAATGTTTTATTCAACTTTTTGTTCCTCCCAGCTTTTCTGATTGATCTTCTTTGATTAATCACAATTATTTAATCACAATATATAAGTGTGCCCTCTTCCTTCTTTTGCTTGTTCTATCACCAGAAAGCTGTCACTGTGTCCACTGACACATAAAGGAGATTTTTTTAAATAGTTACTTTTGAGTTACGATTTCATAAATCAGGTGTGAGTACAATGCTTCTGGGGCATTTTCATTCTTTATTTCACTTTTACCCTCCCCTCCCTCCTTACAAGTTACATCCTTTAGATGTTCAGAGGAATTATACCTTTGTAATCCTCCCCTTCATGTACCCTCCTTTAGTTAGTTTGGGTGGAAATACAAAACTCCATGTACAAGTTCTGATATATAGTTGTATTTTAGCTCTAGCTTCCACTTATACAAGAACGTGCACCATTTATCTTTCTGAGGTAGGCTTGATAAGAGGAGGTATTTTCTGGTTGTCACTAGAATTATTACCATGTAATGGATTTAGTATTACTTGTAGGGTGATCTGTTTCTTTGGATGATTTGACTTGCTTGTGCTTATTAGTATAGGTGAGGAAAGTGTGTTTAAAACAGTCTGTTTGGGGGAAGGCATCAATAGTATATTGAAAGAAACAAGTGATGGATTTGATAATCCATCATCTTGAGTGAAAGTCTCAGGTAGGAAATTGGAAAGTCTTTTTCCTTGTTGCCTTTGCCATGTTCACTAAGGTAAGCCATTTCTTTCCCCCATCACCCATTGTTGGTGGCAGGGCAGGAGAGATTATAATGATAGCTCTAGAAAAGAAAGTTTTTCTCCTAGGTGTATGTCCCTTGTCAAGTAGGTCATGGGAACTTTATACAAAAGTAATAGTTACTAGAACATAGGAGAATTGTGTATCTGAAGGAAGGATATCTTTTTAAGCTTAGAAGAGTAAGAAGAAACCATAAGATTAACCACACAATGTACTTGGGGAAAACATTTCAAAATCTGATGAAACAGTTGGTGAAAGGGGATATATGTTTCATAATAACTACCTCAACAACCTTAAAGCTAACATTTATTGAGTACTTTACTTTTTATACTACCTAACTCCTTTCCTCTAGAGATGTCAAGTAAGTAATATCACTAAGAATGATGCTGGAAGACCAGGTTCCCAGGGCTTATGCCTAGGTGTAGGATGGACATTCCCATTTCAAAGGGAGAAAAAAGTTGGAAGGAAAAATCAGTAGCTCTCTGGTCTTACTATTTCTTATCATTGCAAAACATATATTTAATATCCAACATTACCTTCCTTAAAGATAAAAGCTATAAGATGAAGGATCAATCTCTATTAAACGAACTCGTTTTCCATTTATCTTACATATAAATATATTTACTAAGTTCTTAAATGTTCAATCAGATGACTAAATAGAAAACTGACATACCTGAATGTGTATAGTATTATTAGGAGGATTGCTAATTTATAAGTCCAATAACTATACATAGTTTAAAGGACCAGTTTATTTTTCTACTATGCCTAAGAGATTTTCCTTTATTATTATTTCCATAACCTTTAATTTATTATTACCTTAAAGTTACCTTGAAAGTATGTCACAGTTATTATTCTCCTTATAAATTCTGAAAGACAGCAGGCCTTCCATAATGGGTTTGCAAGAAAAATCATGTATCCTAGTATCCAGAGTAGGTAGAACACTTGATGCTTTTATTTTTATGTCTTTAGTTTCTTTACTGACTTTTCCTGATTTTTCTGGTTTATTCCTCATTTAATATCATAAAAGATAATGGAAAATGGAAGCATTTGCACAAACTAAAAGCCTTGAGTGTAGATTTATTTCTTATGATTTCCAATGATTTTTAAACTATACGCTCGATAGAATATTTGCAAGCTGTGGTTTTCCCTCATAATGCCACAGTGTGGTGCTGTTGTGCTTTGGCTTAATAGTTACAAAATTATATGTTCCTCATGCTGTCATATTTCTTATTTTGTGGATTAGATGTCTCAAAAGTATATGAACATGTGTTCATATTGGGAACTTTTAGACGTAGTTAATGAGTTGTATGATTGCTTGGTTGTGATTGTGTAATCAGTTTTTTAAATAAGCATACATATTTAATTTTTCTCTTGATTGCCTTATATTTAGTTAAAACTGAAAAGGCTTCTTAGAGGTTATAAAATGAAAACTTGAAGAAATCAACAAAAGGATATTGTAAAGTCATGACAGGCACATCTTTTTAACTTTAGGAGTTTGGGATTTTTTGTAAAGACTACAGTTCCACTTAAATAATATTGTCTTCCAAATCCAAATTAAGCTGGACCTTCTATTATCATATATAATATTTATTACAGTCCATTCAAGAGGAAACAGTTTATTGCTCATGTGCTTTAGTCAGATATAGTAATTTTTGGAAGCTTATTTTCTTTTTTTAGGTGTTCTTTAGCCTGCTCGTGCTAGGTATACAGGAATAAAGCAGTTTTCATTGAGTGGCTTCTACTTATTCTCAGTAAGGAAATGAAAAATAAGCTATAGACCATCAAAAAGATCCATCCATTGACCCCAAAGGATAGGACTGTTAACATCGCAGTTTAATATTTCAGTGCTTAAAAAATGAACAGGAACTTTTATTGTGACCTAAAGTATCACATAGGAACATCAGAAATGTTTTTGAAGACTATAAGACATCTGAATTTGGAGTAATGACCTAAGTACTAGAGAGATACTTGGTTACTATTGGAGAAATTATGCTCTGTAAAGGCAGGGTATGTTTTGTTCATCATATTCCTACATCTAGCACTTCAATGTTTTTAGAATTCTAATTGCTGAATTCCATGGGGTAGTTAATGATTACATTCCAGTAATTCAGTTACAGCATTTAACATTTTTTCCCCCCAGACTTAATTCTTTCTATAAGAAATGCCTATAAAGAATGAGGTATTAAGGGGGAGGCTAGTATGAGAGGTTGAATGAATGAATAAATATGGGAATAGAGGACAAGTAGAGCAAGCATACACAATGGACCTATGTGATAAAGAGTGGGAAATGTGCCGTGAGTGGGGATGGGAGTGAACAGACGGGTTGGGGGAGAATGAGAGAAGAGGTGGCTCTTACTCAGGAACACTGGACACTTAGGTGGACATATTAAATTGTAACCCCCCCATTTACAACCTTTTGAAGTTCAGAAAAGAAGTGAGTTGGCAGCTGTCTCTTTAAAAATCGTAGCCAACTAGTTGGTAGTGCCATGTTTGGAGTTGAGTATTTTTTAAAAAAAAACTTTATTGTAAAGATGCTGTATAGAGGAGTTACAGTACATGAGTGAGTACAGTTCTTGTTGAGCATTGTTACCCCCTCCTTTGATGTTCTCCCACTATCCCTTCCCTCTCCCACCTCCTTCACTTCTCTACCCCCTTCCGGTCCCTCCCCCCCCCCAAGTTGTAAAGTTCATTTCCAATATAGTGTCTTACAGCTATCATTGTTGCAATGGGTCATCTTATGTCCTTGTTTCATTGCTTTGTTATTCCCCTTCCCCTCCCCACAAATTAGACAAATGTATATACAAGATTCAGGGTACCAAAATCAAGTACAGTGACAACAGGGGATATACCATAGGGGGAAGAACATACAAAGGAAACAAAAAAAAATCACATAGTACATTAAAAACAACAACAACAAAGAAAGAGCTCTTGTGTCCATATCTTAGGGTACATTTCGCTTAGCATTATCTTACATGGTCATATGTACATAGCTTTTCTGCTCATCTGATAACATTATCTTAGACATATACTAATTATTGCAAATGAGGGAAAACATGGGATCTATATTTCTTTGGGTCTGACTTACTTCACTTAATATGATTTTTTTCCAAGTCTTACCATTTCCTAACAAATGGGGCAGTGTCATTCTTTCTGAGAGAAGTATAGCATTCCATTGTATAGAAATGGATGTCGGGTAGGGTTAGGGTTAGGAAAAAAAAAAAAGAAATGGATGTTGGGGTAAATCAGCTACATTCACAGAGCCTGTACTGGGACTCACCTCCAAATGGTTTTCTGGGAAATAATGCAGTAACAAACTAAAGATAAAAGATACAGAACATTTAGGAAGTAACTTAATAAATAAAAATAAACATTCATCTCTTCATCTGACAAATGTTTCTGTTTCCAAACCTTGGATCTATTATATGCCTAATGTACAATGTCAAGAACTATGATATGTTTTAAACTATTAATGTTAATGTATTGCATAATTGTATTATATTTGTACATACTCTGCATATTTGTGGAATAAAAGAATGATATAAAGTAACTGTCTAGAGGTAAAGATGAACATATAATCTTAATGTTTTGGAAAAATAGAGAAAGCTTACCAAGTGTTTTGTTCTGTGTTTTAGTTTAGTTCTGAAAATCTAATCTTTTGAGTTGTATCTCTTATTTTCCACTTATTTTTCCAATACTACATAATATATTGTTGTCTTTGGGATATTGGAGTTTAAAGATAGATTTAAGAAGAAAATAACTTCACAGAAACAACTATACAACAAAATTAAATTTGTTTCTCTTTGAAGAAACTGTTGGAAGATACTTGCAACAAAAGAATTACTTCCTTACAACTCCATTTTGGGGAGTGTTTCTTGTGGATTTCTGAGAAGTTTTTCTATTAAATATAAGAAATTTGGGCTAAGAATGTTACTAAGGTGTAGAACACTTGCCTAACACAGGAAAGGCCCTGGATTTGATCCTTAGCATCACAAGGAAAATAAATAAAATGAATCAATTAAAAAAGGAACTTTGATTTAGGTATTTAAAATTTACCACAGGAAAGAAGCCTAAGACAATGGATTTGGCTGCTAAATTTTATCACAGCATTGAAAAAGTAACGTCATTTGGCACAACTATATATGCGTTTCGGTTTATTTAATAATAGCTTATAATTCTATTGATTCCTCTTAAAGTACTCTTCTGTGTCTAGGCTAACCTGCATTTTATGGTAGACTATTGCCTTCATTCAGCCTTACCTGGATTTTCTGATATTTTGTTCTTGTTCTTGTCTTTTTGTTCTTGTTTTTAATAAAACAGCTATTTTTAATTCTATATTTTCTACTTGACAGGACGTGGTTCAATTCCAGAATTCTTTCATATTATGAAAAGAAAGTTTACCAACAAAGAATGGGAAACAATCAGAAGTTTTAATGATGAATGGACTCAACTGGATATGTTTTACAGGAACTGGGTATAATTTTTTTCTAATTTTAAATACAAAGATCTATAGTGGCTCCATTACTTTTCTCTAAAAGTAGGAGTAAAAATCCTTTGGTTACCGCATAGTACTATGGAGTGCTCCAGGTAACTGAGTGATTACCTGAGAGCTTTAATGATTTTTATACACACAGTATTACATTATAATAACATTTATTTGGAGTAAATAATATATATTTTGAGCTCAATTAGAAGATACTTGTTCTTTAACTTAGTTTTCTTATCAGTCCTGTGGGGAGGAAAATGCTGTTTTGTCATTACATTTTACACATGAGAACATAGGCACAGAACGCTTAGAGTGATTTTTCCAGAATGTCACATGCATAGTTTGTTTCTATGCTACAATTTGGACAGAAAAAAAAATGTAGCCTACAGCCATAACATGGTATATAGCTAGAGATCCAGATCTGTTGGGACTAGAGATTTTTATGAACAACTTTACCTATTTAATTCAGAGAACAAAATGTCTGTATCTTAGGCACTGAAAGAGAGCTTCATAAAAGCCATTGGTGTTGGACTTGGATTTGAATTACAGCGCCTTGAATTTGATATAGCTCCATTAAACCTGGATATAGGCCAAGTTTATAAAGAAACACGTTTATTCCTGGATGGGGAGGAAGAAAAAGAATGGTCCTTTGAGGTAAGACAATCCTGTATTCTTTCCTGTATAAGATTAGTATGGGGTGGCTAGTTATTGAATTTATTGTTGTTGTAAAGGTGATGTACAGAGGGATTAAAATTTAATAGGACCTGAATTGCATGCTTGATGCGATAGAGAACGCTCGAATGATGTGTCACAATAAGTTAAGTAGACTAGGAAAGAAATGGAGGCCCTGTAGTAGGGCTTTGTGTGGGAGCAGCCGAAGGTAGTTGGTATTGGCTCTGTCATGATGAGGGGATTTTTGAGAGATTCAGACTTAGGATGCTAGATCACACATGGGGAATCATTAGCAGCATTAAAAGATTTTTGGCCTCTTTCTGCCGTTAGTAATCCTTGGATGCTAATGACTCATTAAAGCCAAGAAGACATGTTTCTAGGCTGCTAATCATGATTTAGTTACTGAACCTCAGAATGAGCTACAAGTAGGGCTGAAGTACTCTGCTTATTTTATCACTTACTTTTGCCTTCTTATGTCTTGGATTGTTTTCCCTCATCTTTGAGTTTCATTCTACACAGCAGCCTTCTCAGTTTCTCTGATCTGATCAGGAAACATGGCTGCTGCCGCTCATGAAGCTTACAGTTAGAAAACTCAACTGATGAATTCCCTTTCTCTTCCAAGCCCCAAAACCCTGGAGAAAGGATTCCCTGACTTAGCTTCTAGACCAGTCAGTGTGGCCAAGGAAGGGGTCTGCTGTGATAGGTCCTGTGCTTGTTAAGTGTCAAGGGCCCAACAAATGGGCTATATTATTATGTGGTCTTCTGCTATAATCACTTGAATAATATGCTGAGAAAGGAGGTCAGGTCTCCCGAAGATGGTAGTGAGTAGACGTGGTAGGAGACATGCTAATTTCCTCAAGAGAATGAAAAGAATGATAAAGTCCAGTTTGTGTTTTAAAAGAGCCAACTCACTTGGAATGGTATTTGGAGATTAAGGAAATGAGGTGTCAAAGATGTTAGGAGCTGGACTCTGGCTTATAGGATTGTTCATTGAGATGTAGGACAATGGATAACAAGTAGGGGTTAAGTTTGAGATAGCACTGAAGCACCCAAATGAAGATATCAAGTAGTCCAGTGAAAAGGACAGCTGAGTTAATAAGATGCTGTATAACCATTAACCTGGTGAGGGTAATTGAAACCACAGGGTTTGTTGTTGAAGCTATGAGATTACATAAGGAACAACTGTAAATTGAATGTACGAAGAGAAGCTCAGCTTGAAGCCATTTAGAAGAGAGAAAGGCCTGGGTCAGAGCCTGAGAATACTCGTATTTATGGAAGAAGATAAGAAAGAGAGTTAACTAAAATGATAAGATGTAAAATGAGAGAACAGTATCAGGAACTAGGGGAATAAAAGTATTTTGCCAAAGAGATTTGCCAAAAACTGTTACTATGGAAGTAGAGATGTGGCTCAAGTGGTAGAGTGCTACACTTGAGCAAAAAAGCTCAAGGACAACATCCAGGCCCTGAGTTCAAATTCCAGGATCCCCCCGCCCCCCAAACCTGTTAAGACAGGAAGCAATTCTGTCATTTAAGGAGTTTTGTTCCATGTCATATAAACAGAGTACAAGAGTTTTGTTTCATCTGCCTTTTTTGGCCATCATTTTTCTATATATACTCCACAGGGTAGCCAAAACACAACCTGCTAACTCCTACTATCCTAATTAGAGATGAGGTTTAGTGAATTTATTTGCCCAGGCTGGCCTTGAACAGAGATTCTCTAGATCTCAGACTCTGAGTAGCTAGGATTACATATGTGAGCCAGTGATCATTAAGAACCATCAAATTAAAAATGAGCATTATTTCAGATTACTGATGCTATAATACACAAAGGCAAATTACTATTAACAACTGAGTACAAAGTTTTATCTGGGTTGTCTATTATTTGACTTAGAGAAGGAGAAGGAGGGACTAAGGAGACTTCAAAAAAGTTAAACTATCTAGATTTATATATTTAATAACCTGTATTTACTTGCCTTTCATATTTTAGGAAAGCAAAATAGATGATCACCACTTTGTTGCCGTAGCTCTTAGGAAACCTGATGGATCTAGATATCAGGAGGTAAAGTTTCTTTGGCTTTTTTTGGTTAGAGATTGTGGTGGATTTTTTTTTGTTGCTTGTTTTTTGTTCCAAAGAACATGTTATGTGCTTGTTATACAAAAAAAGTGCTGCAAAAAAAATTGGTATTACTTCATACTTCCTATCAAAATTCACTATGTTCACTATTTGAGTCATGTTTAACAGGAGTTTATTTTTGGTGAAATTGGGGCTGTATTGAATATAAAGGGTGAGTAATAGCATTACCTTGAAAATGGAACTTCCTTTCCTCCTTAAAGTAATACCCTATGGTCAAACACGTGGGAGACTGTATCATAGCATGCCATATGTTACTGTCAGTTCATTGATACACTTTCTTCACAGAATCTGAAGGTAATTTTATATAGTGTATTTGGTCTGCCTATGTTTTGACTGTGACCTGTCATAGGAGGTCAGGTATAGACTTTTTCATTTGTGGAGTTATGTTGGACTTAAAGCTTGGATTTATGGACCATTTTAGATTTCAGATTTTCTCATTGGGGTGCTTGACCTATATTAGAACATTAAAGGATAGGTTAGGGTTAGGTTCTTGAACAAAGGATCTATTTCAGAATAGAAATGAGTTTAAATTTCATGTTAAGTAATTTCCTAAAGATATGTTATTAGACAAATAATATTTCTCAGAAGGTTACTGGTGGACCACTTCTTGCTAAAATTACAGATTTGGGGATCCCTTTACCTTAAGGTTACTGGTTTGTACTTTTTGGATGTTAGCTGTAAGACATTTGCATTAACTTTTATGTACAAAAAGTTGGAGAACCATGCTTCCTGTTTCATTATTTTTATTTGCTATATTGGCAATAGTAACATAGAAGGCAACAATACCTGGTTATAATTTAATATGTTGTAATTTTCTACATTGTAATTTAATACTACTTCAGTGTAGTTTGCTCTTATGAAACCAATCTTAAGGTTAATATGTAATGAAACACTTATTTTTTCTTTTAGGTCCCTGCTCAGGATGATTCTAAGCCATCCCAGAGGCAGTTCACTATTCTTACCTTTAATGATTTAATATCATCTGCTGTTCCCATGACACCTGAAGACCCTTCATTTTGGGACTGTTTTTGCTTCACAGAAGAAATTCTAATACGAAATGGCTCTAAGTCATGATACGATTCCCTACGTAGAAAAGGAAAGTGAAAATTGTTTGTAATCTCCCAAATTCACTAAAAAAAATAAATACTTGATACTATCAGACTTCACAACCAAGTTTTTAAAAATACCCCAAAACTCTTAGTACTACAAAAGAGAACTCCAGTTCAGCACAGCCCAGTAGAATTTATGTTTACCTATTCCAGTCCAAATTGCATTGTGTTGAGGGATATGAAAAGGGTGATGATACATGTGCATTGTAAAAAAAAATAAAAATGCAAATATGATCAAGGAAGCATTTCAATCCTCTATTTCAGATACCTACTCTTAAAACTTTGGTATCTTCCCGGACTGTTTTCTTGATCAAAAGAATGCATATTAACAGGGTCTTTTTTTTTTTTTAAGGGAACATATTTCTTTGGGATTTAAAAAAAAAACTACATCCCCTGCTCATAACATCTCTATTACATAAATGTGTTGGTTCTAAAGTACTCTTGTATGACTAATACAAGTTAGGATGCTCTTAAGGAGAGATTTTTATTTTGCCTAACACCAAGTTCTGAGGTGATATTAAGGACATCTTGGCCTCAATTTATTGAGTTTGCCTTAAGCTCATCCTCTTCCTATATCCTAATAACTGCTGCTATAACTCAGTTTTTTACCTTCGTCAAATTACATCTACAAGACCACTTCTTCTATAATGTTGATTTTACCAGGGAGGAAGACATTCCTCCCAAACCCCCAGATTTCCCCCATCCACTCATGTCTAGTTGCAACATGTGACCATTTTCATCATTAGTAGACTCTTAGAAAGGAAGATGTTAAGGCAGGTGTAGGAGAATGGTATTGAGGTGAAGCTTCCTTCCTGCCGTAAGAAAATTGTGCCAGAGTATCCTTGTTTTCTTCCGGGTTGAACACTTTTATTGTCTCCATTTTATTACTCTAAGCAGTGGTGCAGTGAAAACCTTTGTTCGTATTGAAGTACATGCTTAATTATGCTCTCAAGGAAGCTTTTAGTGGAATGACTGGTTAAAAAGGCTTAACATTTTTAGAGCATTTGCTAAGTATTAGCTTGTTCTTCACAAAGGCTGTCCAAGTTATACTTCAAGTTGTTAAGTGAACATGTGACTACTACTCTGTACTCCCTGGGCAACTATATAGATTTTTTTTTTCTGTGCCTTTATAAATGAAAAGTTGGTCATTTTTAAGATTTATATTTCTTTCATCACAAATGAGTTTGGTATGTCAGTGTTGTTATCAGCTCTTTGTATTCATTTTTTTTTCTGAGTTTCTTGTTCATCGCTTTAGTGGGTAGAACTTAAAGTGCAAACATAATATATTAAGATGTCAAGACCATCATATTGATGACAGAATCTCTTATGTAGCTGTAGTGCATGTCTTGGGAACTTAGCCTAATTGTTAAATACCAAGAACTAAAATAATGTCATTGTTTCTGTTACTAACATTAAAAATTGTGTGTAAACTGTATAAAATTAGATACTTAGGAAAAAAGTTACAGTATGGTTTTTTGTTCTTAATTTTATCAAGTGTGGTCAGTTATGCCACGCATAATAAATAACATTATAGATGACCAAGGAAGATTTACCTGAGTGTAATAGTGATATGAAAAACACCTGTCTTGTCATTGTAATAATAAAATGATAAACAGTTCCAGAATTTTTATGATCATGACAGTATGCTAGCTTTTGGTTTTACATTTTTCTGTTTTTAAATCAAGTTATACATGCACATCGTTTCAAAACAAATAGATCCATATTTTACTTTTACTGAAGAAAAATACTACTACTATGACTGCCTCCTTTATTTAACTGTCCTTAGGACAAGCAGTTTCACCTCTTCTCACCACAGAGGATTTTTTTTTTTGAGACAGGTTCTCATTATGCATCTCACTATCCTGGAACTCACTGTGTAACTCAGATCTGCCTCCGACTCTGTATTCTCCTGCCTCATCTCCTGAGCTGGTATTAGAGGTGATGACCAATCACTGGACCTGGCCACTTCCAACTCCAAACTGATTTGTTGTTACTTTTAATTATCTTAAGTAACTTGCATTTATTGCTTTCACTCATATTTTCCATTTGATTACCAATATAAAGCTTCTTGCTAACATTGCACACACTCCTTTTTTTTTTGTTTTGTTGTTTTTTTTCAGGTTGTGGGGCTTTTACCTAGGGCCTGGGCCAAGTCTCTCAGCTCTTTTGCTCAAGGCTAATGCTCTACCCCTTTGAGCCACAGCATCACTTCTGGTTTTTTGATGGTTAATTGGAGCTAAGTCTCACAACTTTCTTGTCCAAGCTGGCTTTGAACCATGATCCTCAGATCTCAGCCTCCTGAGTAGCTAGGATTACAGTTGTGAGCCACCAGCTTCCAGCCATATTCTCCTTTTATCCTCTAGCAGAATTACTGTCATTCATTGTCTGTATTACTGATTACTCTCAAGACTTTGTTGATATTCATGGTGTGTTGTTTTTTTGTTTTTGTATCTCAGGATTGAAGCAGATGCAGCTAAAGACTGCTTCCATTTGATCATCCTTTCTTCTCCAGAGATAACTTTTATCATACTTGTAATTTTATTGTGTATATGAGTATATACTCTTAGTGCATACAGTGTGTGTGTGTGTGTGTGTGTGCACGTGCGCGCGTGCATGTGCTTATAATCCTCTTTTCTTAGGACTGAATTATTGGGATGGAATCACTGGGTCCTAGTTAAGAAGTAAAACTGGCAGAATAATTGAGCTCACTTCTCACTTAGAGGAGTGTTCTCAGTGGTTAACTTATAAAGTAGCAAGTGGGCACCTAGAGAATGTACTTTACCAAGTTTTTATAAAGAACATTAATAATCAGCCAATAAGCATATAACATAGAATATAAATGTGCCCACATTTTAAGTAAGAGTTTTTAATATAGTCACTGTCATTTTTTTTGTTTGTTTTTTGTTTTTTGCCTTTAGGGTCATTATTTAGTGGAAAAATTGAACTGGAACCAAAATTAGGAGAAAAGTAACATTCCATACTTAGGGAGTAGCACAAAATTTGTGCAATTTCTCACCCCCCCCTTTTACCCCATTCACCTTCAGGAGAGTACCCCATCTGTCAGCCCACCCCTGCTGGTCTGGGAGTGGTCAGCATTTGGTGAAAAGGAACCCATATGTTTGATGATCCTGATAATACCTCCCCTTTCTTTTTACTGTGATTTTCCGTTCCCTTTGAAACTCTTATGTGAGAAGCCTGCTGAGTTAGGCCTTTTCCCCTTCTCAAGACTAGTAGAACTTTCACTTTGGTCAATACTCTAGGAAGCCAATTTCCTTCTATGTTCAATGATAAATCAGACTTCCTATCCCTTGGGTTCTGCAAATGAAAGGGGCCATTAGGGTAAGACTGAGTGAAAAGGGAAAGAAGGCAGGATGATTATTCTTGCCTTTCTCCCTGCCATGCAGTAGTTTGGAAATAGCTACTTTCCTCAGCATCACAGTTTCCGATATAGCTCTCTCCTACACGTTTTCCTTGCCCTTTCATTTTAGGAATAGAAGCATCTTGTTTCTACTTAGCCAGTGTTGCTTCATGTCTTGTTGTTTCTTTTACTCGTCTACACTCTCCTTCAGATATTCCTTTTGGATATGCCATCTGTTTCTTGCAGCAACCTTGAATAATAAAACAATTTGTACCAAGAATAGCCCTAGGGAAGTGGGATGTTAGGATCAGGTTGCCTATGCATAGATAAATTCCTGAGGGAGAGGGAACAAAGAACACTTGTAATTGGTGGCGGGTGAGATGTCGCACCTCCACACATAGTACTCAAGTACATCTGTCAGACCACATCGTAGTCATGCATCACCCTGTCCTTTTACTACTCTAAGCTGGCCGTTTTTCACTTGGATGGTTGACACTGGAGTTTCATTGGACTCCCTACTTTTAATGGCTTTCTGTCCCAGTTAATTCTCCACATAGCAGCTACTGTGCTCACAGTAGAAGACAAGACTTCCTAGTACACGTAGAACCCTATCTGGGTCTCTACTCCCCGACTTCATTTGCACCTCCCCTCATCCTGTCCCTCTTCTGTAATCACACTGACTGCTATGCTACACACTCCTACTTTCCCTCTGTCTGGAATGTTCTATATCAGCATGGCTCACTTGGTCCTTCTACCACACATTCACTCAAATGTCCCCTCATTAGGGCATATTCTACCCTCTACTGTCCACACTTCCTAGCTCCCTTTCCTGCTTCTTCTTTCTGATACTACTATTTAACATGTCATGTATTTTACTTTCTTCATGGCTTTTTGCCCTGCTATAATCCCTATCAAACCAGATCTTAGCCTTCTGAGTGGGTAGACATGAGCCACTGGCATGTGACTTCAACATTATAGGTCATTGCTTTTATTGGAAGCATTGCACATGAACTTAAGGAAATGACAGAGCTTCAGTGATTACAATAGTTGACTTTGAAAGTCAGTTTAAATTAGGTGACTATTATTTTCACTTTGGGTATAGCTGATTTCTTAAAAATGGAAATTATCCTTTTCCTCATCGAGTTTATATAGTGAATACTAATCATGAAATCATTACCTTCACAGGAAGACAGTAGTCAGTACTTCTCATTTTGGTACACAGATGGAAATAGATTTCAGTGTGATTATTCCACATCCAAACTACTGCTCTGAATTTGGGGATGATAATCAAGTGGCCAATTATGAAATATTTTTATTGTTATTATAAAAGTAATATATGGAGGGGTTGCAGTTTCATAAGTCAGGTAATGAATACATTTCTTTTTGGACAGTATTACTCCTTCCTTTGCTCTCCTCAATGATAGCTTTTAAATTGGTCAGGACATGGAAGCACAGAAATCATGTTTTCATAAAGGAAGCCACTTCTTGGTCTTCAATTTCTGTGTTTACGTAGCTCCTAAATAAATAAATAAATAAAAGACTATGCCATTTTATCCAAATTTACTTTTGTTTAAAGCCAATGTATACTAAATGAACTACACTTCAGATAATCAACACATTTAAAGAATGGCATTTAGTGACTTAAAATAGGTCTAGAGTTACCCTGTATACAATGAAACATTTGCAGCAAGTAAGCATATACAATGCCTAGAAATAGTCTAGATCTTCAAGCTTGAATTCCTGCTGTTTTCTTAGGCATTCCTGTACAGTGAGTACGTTGACCATTAAGTTGAGTGAAGGTATTAATCATTGAATAACTTGAAAGCGATAGGAATATTGCCTAGTAAAATTTCATTTGTTTCATTGCTGAAAGTTTTGTTGTTGTTTGATTTGTGCCCATCCTGGGGCTTGAACTCAGGGCCTGGATTGTCCCTGAGCTTCTTTTGCTCAGACTATCATTTTACCATTTGAGCCACAGCTCTACTTCTGGCTTTTTTGGGAAATGGTTTGGTGGAGATAAGAGTCTCTTACCTGCCCAGACTGGCTGCAAACTGTGATCCTCAGCCTCAGGATTACAGGCATTGAGCCACTGGCACCCATCTTGAAGATCTTTGTTTTGTTTTGTTTTTAAATGATTGAATATTTGTGTATGCAGGATTTGTTAATCAAACTTGAATCATATGAATTAAAACCATTTTTTTTTGGAATCCAGCTGGACTTAGACAAGCCTAATCTTGGCACTTTTTTTTTTCTAAGATGGTCTGAGTATTTGTGTTCCTTAGGAAAAAAAAAATACAGATAAATACTGCTCTTTGAAGACAGTATTCATTTGGAACAGGGCATCTCAGAGTTTAAAAAAGAATGGCATGTGGTTTGGGTTTGAGGATGCAGCTTCACCACACTTGCCTTCACAGGGAACACATTTCACGTATTAAACACATCATGTTAATGAAACTGCCTCTTGCAAAACTGTCATCCTTTTAACTTTGAACATGATTAATTTACTAAGGGAAAAACGTATTTACCTCGTCCTAGACTTTAATCACATTTGTACTTAGAATTACCATTAAAATGGTCTTTCTCAAAATAGTTGATAAATTGTAAGTCAAGATACATTTATCTGTGTAGTTATCAAAAAGAAAAAAAATGTTCTCAAGGCAGTTAGTCCACATTTTACTGGAAAATGAATCTTTTATGTCCTTAGTTCACTTATGTTATATTCCAATCACTTTTGTTGCATGCTATTTTTAGGGAGTTTGCTAAAATGCCCAGTATTTGATCATTTAAAAGCCTAATGTTGAAGGACTCAGTCAGAAACAAGTACAGTATATTATGTCCAAAGTAATAATGCAGATTTTCTACCGTGTGAGTAATTGCTTTATTTCCCTCTTTCCTTTTAGCATCACAGGGGAATATGATTTTCTTCCTGATGGCCTTGAGGCAAGCATAAAAAGAACCAAATTTGTTTTAGAGTTCTGAGTTCATATTTATGAGGTTCTTAGGAAAGCCACTTAAATAAGAAGATTAGTGAAAACTCACCCTGGGTTTAGATTTTTCAACAAAATTGCTTTAGGAAACAGTTGATTCATCAGTTTGGTTTTGTAGACTGAACTACATTTTCTGGTTATAAGGAGGAGTTTTAAGTACCACAAAGTATCTCTTCAAGAATAAACTTTCAGT